CTTCTCTTTATCCCCAAAATATGCTCATTACTAAGCAAGCAGGTAAACACAAAACATTTATCAAGTAGCAAAGTTCAGTCCCTGGAGAGTTCACAAGGGCTATGCTTTTCTATTTATTTACTGCTTGTTGCCTTAGGCCAGAAAGCACACTGTAAATTCACTTTACAGTTCTGCATGAAGAGCCAGAGGCAACCGCTTCGATGCAGCTTGCCTTAAGCGCAATGTCAGTGACTCATTTTTCAGTTACTCCTTAAATGCATATCAAAACAGTTTGAACCAATGTATTTGTTGAATATGCTCACAAACTGTATCGTCTCATGACAGTGACTGAACAACGGCAGAGAGACAGGGATTACCTAGGAAAGTGAACAAGAGCTACTTACCCCAAAGTTGTCTTCATGCAAGAACCATTTAGAGACTCTTTCATGAGAAGGTCTTACAAAAACACAAACCCCAACAGCACTAATCTTAAAACCTTCCCGCTGGCCACCTTTTTTAACTAATTCTTTCTGTTGAAGTTAGCCCCTCCAAAAAAAAGAAAGTTTGGATGAAAAAAAAAATTCCAGAAATTTTTTTTCTTCTCAGATACTGAGAAGACAAATTCATCTATTATTTTTTAAATGCTGCAGGAAATTTCTAAAACAAGGGCATCTCTGATGGACCTTTGCACTGGAAGATCCCAGGGAGTTACTTGCCCAGAGGCAAGCAGTAAGATTTATGGACAGTATTACACCTGAAGGTGGCAAGCTATCTTGACAAAAAGGTAACAGCACTCCTCAGCCATCTACTACATATAACAGACGTAGGATGCTGAACAACACTGGGGGTTTTTTGCTCAATAAAAGTGAAGAGATTAACTTTTAATTCATTATATCTTCAGAAAAAAATGACCTTTAAGTGCTGTTGCTAGGTTTTATATACACTAAATTAGCAGAGAGGTACGGCAAAAGCTGTTGGTGGCATATGCCTGCCTTATCACTTCAAGGAATGTATGTAAAATAGAGAGGTTTCAAACACTGCAAAATCACCATGTCCTTTATAAAATGAATACAGAGCTACAGTAAGCAGAAAAAATTCAAATAATTGGATTCTGTTAATCTGTGGGGACATGGACTTAATACTGCATTTAATTTTGGTAAGTGGGAGGAAGATTATTGCAGGCAAGATACAAAGAATAGTCTCTGCTCAAATCGTATAACATTTACAAGCTTAAATACACTAAGACACTTATTAATAACTGTATCAGAACATTTCCATGTATCCAATCCACAAGAAACTAAACACATAGGCCTCCTCCCAATGCAGACAATAACAGTAATATTTACATTCCTCTATTCACTTGCTTCCAACAGTCTTAAAAAAAAAAATAATCTGTGAACTTGCTGGATAACAAGTGCCAGTCTCCTATGAAACACTGCAGAAAGCATAATTTTTAGGCATTTTACTTTACTTTTGAAAGAGACTAACCACTCACTGAGACAAAGCCATTCTCTTTCCAGAGTTTTTGAAACAAAAGCTGGAATTCATTCTCATCAAGTCTGTCGCTGTCACAGTGGAGGACTTCTTGGGAGCTGCACTTGTTTACAGCCTACAGTTCCTGGGGGAAGAAGCAGTTTAACTAATACCAGGATTTAAGCTTTTCACCTGTAATATTTTCATGTCCTAATTTGCTGTTTTGAAACTCGGCTTCTTCCACTAGTTGCTCTTTCAATAAATCTGTTGTTTTTCTGAAATGTGAAATCAGAGAGGATAGCAACAACTGTTTGGCATTTACAAAAACTCTTCTAAAATCTGAGGGAGATCAAAACACTTTTCTTTAAAAATAAAAACTACAAATAAAAATAAAAACTACAGATCATTTAATATCTGCAACATACTCGATTTGATCCCATGTTCCCAGAATATCAACCAAGTCATGCGTTATGCAGTTTGTTAATATTAAGAAAGGTACTGTACTTCTTTTAAAAGAATTTACTTTGAAGCAATTATCCTTCTGAAGGAAAAAAATATAATAATTCTCTTAATGGAAAAGACCAAAAAAAAGCACATTCTGTCATTGCAAATTTTTTTCAAGCTCTTAATACTTTAATATTACAGCAAATCTTATGACGGCATTTGGCATCTTCCACAAAGCGGTGGTATGGTTCCTGTAATGCTTTAATGTCCCCTCATGATGGACTGCTGGAAGGGCATAAAAGCACCAGTAGTGGTTAAATGTGAAATCATGCAGCTGCTGGGCTTGTTGGGAGATAAGATACCCAAACCTAAACACATCTGTTGACTGAAATACAGTCTCCTGTATAGGGAAGTACAGCTGCTACACTCTCCCCCCCCACCATTGAACTCTGACAACTTCTCAGCACAGTTCTTACCTGGCATATGACTTGACGAGTAATCCTTAAACTACTCAAACTAAAATTAAAAGGATCTGCAAACTAAGGAGAACAAGATCTATTTGTTCTGCATACATTTTCCATAATCTTCAGTTACATAACTTAAGGAAAATGGATTGCTTTTTCAAATATCCACTCAAAGGATGCTGATGAAGCTCTCTCATGTGATTAATTCTTCTTCCTCTCTCTCCCTCATTTGTGTAATTCTATAGCACATATCACTCTAATGTCTAAATTACCTAGGTAAACAAAACCCAAACTAAGAGAGATTATTTTTTTCTTCCCTCTCTTTTGGAGAAGAGATATCTGATTCTTCAAAAACAGGCAGAGAGCTTCTTATGCCATTAATACATTTGTGTGGTTAAATCAAAGCAAATTAAATCTAGGCAGTATTTTTACACTGCCAGTAGTTAACATGTACAACACTGGTTTTTTCATCATCATCTGATTAAAATAACTTTGTCTTCCTCTGTTAACAGACTGAAGATTCGCAGTTTATTACCTCACACCTGTAATAATACGACCACATTTTCTGAATAAAAAGGGCCGTTTAATTTTCAAATATTTCTCTGTTTTCTTGTGATTGATCAGTTTTAGTTGCTGAGGGAGCTTCCTGTACACCTTAGCAAAGGTTTGTGTGTATATGAATATACAAACGAGGGTGCGCTTTAATGAGTAAACATCTGTAAAAACTACTAACACTCAAAAGCTTTATTCTGCATCAAGCAAAAGGTGAACAGGAAAAAGATATTTTCTGATGGTCTGCCTTTTCGAACTAGTACCCCATGAAAAAAAATGAACTGTTCTTCTGCCTCTTTAACAGCAGTCTGCTGTTGTTAAAACCATGTAAGTAGCTGACGTTTAAAGCAATGAAAAATTCAGCTTCATCCCTTGTAATTATTTTGTCTCTGCACCACTAAATGTAATTACAAACAGCCCAGACATTCATCACCATAAAAGCACAACTTACTTAAGATTCCCAGCGAACAGATACGGAAAGGCATTGTTTTCACACAGTTCTCTTAGTCAAGCGGTAGTTTAAGAACACTACCGATAAACAAGTGTGCTAAGCCAATGTAAAGCAGACAGGGAAATTTCCATGTTTAATTTCTTCTAGGGAATCCTCCAGTATTTCATTTATCAGTGCTTATAAAAACATGACTCAAAGCAACAAGCAAGAATGTGACAGACGAGTATGACATAACTACGACCATCCCAACTTCCGAAAGTTCCCGTGCCTAACCACGTACCACCTTAAAGGCTGCTTAAGCAGAGAAGGATTTGTTCTAAATGGGCAAAAAAAGCACAAACATAAGACAAGATTCTGAGCTCTCCTCGCAAAGTTATCACGCCAGCGCAGCACGCAGATGTGCTGGTCTTCGGGAGCTGACTTAGGTCTGTGTCCTAAAGGCAACGCCTGCAGCCAGCCTCAAAACCACCCTCCTTGCAGTTACCCAAACTTTTCCAAACCAGTTTGACACCTGCTTGGTTTCTCCCATTCAGGGGGAAAGGGACTAGGGCGTGCCAGATGCAGATTCAAACAAATTTCAACCAGGCAGAAAATTAGATCAAGAATTTACATGAGGCAATAGGAGGCGTGTGGTTAAGTTACCCGATCCCTATCTACGCTGAACAACTACGGTGTCCTTTTCTTCACGGTTATGTAATGCACAGATAGTATTTAACCACTCGCTTGTTCGACACGCACACGCGTGTCAAACCGATCAGCTTTCGGGGGC